TGGGATAAAGCTTTTCTAGGAATGCAAATTTTGCTCTCGGCACCCACACAATGGACTGCAGTGTCCTTCCTAACCGTCGTATGAGCTTGTGCTTGTTAGTCATCATGCTGAAAATTGTACTAAAGTAATAAAAGCCTGCAGTGTGTTTTGCAACACAAAAACTTACTGTGAGAATATCTGTCTCCAAAACAGAGAACACCTCACTATAACACAGTACTGTGTACTGTTAAAATGCTATGCCAGCTCTGATGTTTAAATGTCACCAATCTACAGGACAAAAGAGGTGTCAGAAACAATGTGCTATCGCGCTGTGTGACAGAAATTAAGTCTTCATTTAGAGAACAAAGTGAACCTGAGCTCTGAAAATGCAAAGTAAGAACAGGTCATCCAGGACACACAGTTATATTGGTATCATCTTATTTCCAGATCAATTCAGTGCATGTGATCTGTTAATTTCAACATAAATCTAACAGCTAATTTATACTGATAACAGCCTGCAAGACTTGTTTTCCCACCGTATGGTTTGACAGACCTGGCAAACACCAAAGTGTTGTAAACAGGAACGGTGGGCCGCTTCCAGCCGCCCAGCTACCTTTATCCGAAATAATTACATGGAAACTGTATTCATTTAAACACTGCCTGGCCCATTATATCTAGCCTCTTCTTGGCTAACTCTCACATCTTAATTAACCCATTTCTAATAATCTGTGTAGCACCACGAGGTGGTGGCTTATCGGGAAAGATTCAGCATGTCTGACCTGGCAGCTGGCTCCATGGTGTCTGCCTGACTCTACCTCTTTCTCCCAGCATCCTGTTCTGTCTACTCCGCCTATCTAAGCTGCTGTCCTATCAAAAGCCAAGGCAGTTTCTTTATTAACCAATGAAAGTAACACATAGACAGATGACCCTCCTACATCACCAAAGCATTGTAATCAAAGTGTCAACACGAGGTGGAGTAAGGTCAGGGCTGGGATGAGCACCAACCCGGCAGCCACAGCAGCACTAACATAACTCAAAGTGTATATTATTAAAAATCACTGACTTGTAATGATTTTTACATGCTCAGAGAGCAGCTTAAACTAGTACTTAAGTGGACTCTAAGTAACCGACAGGCAAAGCTCCTCACATATAAGTTAGCAGAGAGAAATAATCTAAACTGAAGTTTTCAGATTATAACTCACGCTACCTGGAGTCAGGTTAGTCAGTAAAGCTTCGATCTGGGCAACACTGACTTCAGCAAGCACAGAGAACACATGCACATTGAGACTCTTCACATCTGTTTACTTTGTGTGCGTGTTTTACTTGCATGAGCATTTGTGTACCATATGTATGCGTAATGCCTGTAGAGGTCAGAAGAGGGTGTCGGATACCCTGGAACTGGAGTTATGAGTGGGTGTAACTGCCATGTGGGTGCTGACAACTGAACCCAAGTCCTCTGCAAGAGCAACAAGTGCTCTTGACCCGAGTTATCTCCCCACCCTCATTTGTGTCTTAATAAGTGACTTTTTGTACAATCTTCTCATGCTACAGGCAAATGTGAATTCATTGTTAAATGAACTGGTGTCATTCCTTAGGCTATGCAGGTTCACCCCAAGAACTTTCACCACTCCTGCTCTACAGTTTATATTGGGAGAGCATTTTGTAAACAGCAGAGCACTTTTGCGAAAATCCAAATTCCAGTTTCATCTTTCATTAGCAGGGACAGTGCAAAATTTTGAGTCTGTTATCTATCAAATCAGGGCTCTTGAGAAATTACGGCCCTCATAGGCAAAAGAGCTGTGCATCTATAAAACTGACATCTAGTTGCACACTATCAGACGAGTGGATACTCATTTATTTATTTGTTAATCATTTTCTTGTGACTATTTCCTGGAAGAAGTTTTCCAATACAGTATCCTTGAGTGTTTTATGTATTGAAAGTGATGGCCTGAGCTGACTGATCACTAAAACTCTGCTCCAGTTCCTTGTTCTGTTGCTGTGATAAAAGACCTGACAAATCAATTTAAGGAAGAAGCAATTTATTTCAGCTCCAAGTCCCAGCAATAGGAGCCGGAAACAGTAGATTCCTCACATCCAGAGTCAAGAAGTAGAAATGCATGTCCTAGAGTTCAGTTCACTTTCTCCATTTTATGTATCCTTGCCGAGAGAGAAGTCCTAACCTCTATTAAGAAGGGTCTTCCCACATGGAATAACATAATCAAGATAATTCTCCACAGGCAAGCCAAGTGCACTTCTCCCAGGGGATTCTAGATCCTGTCAAGTAGACAACATCACAGACTCTTATACAATGAAAGAATATAGGTTACTTGTATAAAGATTACTTTAATAACATATGCTTAAATACTTAGTAAAATCTGAGCGCAAGAAATAAGAAACAAGTCAAGAGATCAGTATATACATTTTTCATTCTGATTTTAAACTAAATTAATGGCAAACATTTATAATTAAATACTAGGGCAACTCTGTGACAGTTACATTACAGTTGTGACATTCTAGGTTTCCACACTTTTCCCAGGTCATCCTAGAAATATAGCGTCATTCCGAAGTATCTTTCAGCATGTATGAAATGTCTTAAATCAATATCATTGGAAGGGAATTAACACTACAAAATAAAGTCCTTTTTCCTTTGTGATGCTGGGGACTGAACCTGTGAATGCCCAACACTGTTCTACCAATGAGCTACATTCCCAGGCTAAGTCCCTTTCTGGAGATGATCTATTTGCAAATTTGAGCCTATGGGTACAACATCAATGATAATGGAATTGGCATCTGGGAAGCCAAGGATAACGAACAGCTACTTACAACAAGCACTTTGAGTATATGCAAGCCTAGGCTTGGTCCCCCACATCACAAAAGCAAATAATTAACACCTGAAAAGCATCCTTAAACTAAGACATACCTCAAAACACTCAGAAATTGAGTAGTAAGATTAGGAATATAACTTTCTTATAATTCCAACACTATAGGATTTTTTTTTTTAAACGGAGCTAACTTCATTTAAAAATACAAGGTATAATTCAGGAATGTAAGATACAATATGAAATATGTAAAATAAAAAATTAACTCCAAATGTATGGTTCAAAACATTCCTTAGAGTTGTCAATAAATGCCAATATATTACAAATACACTGTGAAAAAAATACTACAAATACAATTAATTTCAATGGCAATCTCTGTGGTTCATACAGTAAACTCAACGACTCCAACATTGCTTCACAGAGCCCAAAGGAAGAAAAACAATAAACAGAGTTGCTCACAGCACAGCTGGTCTGCACCTCCCACTTACATACTCTAAAAAAAAGACTTAAGATCTTCAGAAGTACAGGACACTCAATCCAGACAAGAGTATGAATGTCTGATATTAAAAAAAAGTATTCTTTCTCCATCAAAACTATTACCCAATGATTTCAAAATCAGAATCAACCATACATGTAGCTAAAGACTGAGAAAGTGTGTGATCTTGATGTAGGAGAGTCTTCTATCTATCTGTTGCTTTCATTGGTTAATTAATAAAGAAAACTGCCTGGCCTGATAGGTCAGAACATAGGTAGGTGGGGAATACAGAACTGAATGCTGGGAGGAAGAAGGCAGTGAGGCAGACACCATGATTCCCTTTCCCAAGACGGATACTGGCTAGAGACTCATGCTGGTAAGCCACAACCTCGTGGTGGCATACAGATTATTAGATATGGGTTAGTCAAGATGTGAGAGTTAGCCAACAAGAGGCTACAGATAATGGGCCAGGCAGTGTTTGAAATAATACAGTTTCTGTGTAATTATTTCGGGGTAAGCTAGCCGGGATTCGGGCGGGAACACAGCCCGCCACTGCGCCGCTCCTTTTGCAACACAATCTTCAGGAAAATGATACATCCGCAGCTTCTGGGTTTTTCCAGGAACATTGGTCATGATGCTAATATCTAAGATGAAGCAGGGGGCCTAGAAACATGAAGGACAGTGAGGCTCTCTGGCCAAATAAAAAATACAACATGACCCATGAAGACTTTGGAGAAAAAAACACTAAGCTTTCCCAGTCTCTCCAAATTAACTGAATAAATAAACTTCCCAACATTTTTCCATCATCTGCAAACTTGGAGTTGGACTGAGAGTACAAAATGGATCTCAAATTTCAGTACAGGTTCTTGGACCTGTTCCCAATAATCCAGAACAGGCTAGAAACTGCAAACTAAGTGTTTACCAAGCATCACCTAACTAGAATGTGCGGTCTCCAGAGCATCTTTTTCAGAGATGCTAATGGACCTAACTGTAATATAGCTATCACAGCACCAAGTTATCAAGAATTCAGAACTAATTGGTAGAGAGTTTGCCTGGCATTTAAAAAGCCCAGAGATCGATCTGAAGAATCCCATAAACCAAGTGCTATGATGCTCTCCTGTAGTCCTGGTGCTCGGGAGGTAGAAGCAAAAGGATCAGAAGTCATGCCCACTCTCAGTTACAAAGTGAGTTTGAGGCCAGACTGGACTACGTTAGACTCTCAGGAGGGAAATAAAAATGTAGGAGGTAGCCCATAGAATAATACATAGTGAATCACAGAAGAATCAAAGAAAGGAACAGATGGAAAAGGGAGGGAGAAGACTTGCCTCTAACGGTCCTCTCTAAGACTAAGACTAAGGCATACAACATGGCAGCAACATAAACCACATATGTATCTACTGCCAGAAAACAGTTTCCACATAAATGCAATTGGTACCCTATTCATCCTGTTCTCACATCAAACTTCAAAGGAAGAAAAGGGAGGAAGTACACAGAAGCACCCCATGCCCCAAAGTCTAATGGAAAATTACTGGGTGACTAAAACTTAATGACTGCTTTCCCCAGGTAGAAGGAATCACAGGATGTTCTGGACTGGGCATGGAACTGAGACTAAAGTTTGAAATCACTGATTACTCATGTGCACACATTTCATTTGGGATAACATCAGATTCCAAAGATATACTGGCAATTAATATCTGTCCATTTTTCATAGTTTCCCATTCACTTACATTATAATTTTTGAGATCTTTTATCTTCACTTCTGATGATCTTCAAATGTCAATGGCTCTTAACACATTAACTGTAAACAAACACAAAGGAACTTAGGGGTTCAGACACTGGATGAGCCCAGAGTTAAGTATTCTAAATGACTGTGCAAAGTCTGAGGGGCAGGGAAAGAGGGGGAAAGGCTTCCCTTGCATAATTCACGTGGTCTTCAGAAAAGAAAACTGTCCTTGCAAATGAAAACTACATGATCACCAACTTTCTTTATGGAAAAAGAAATATTCAAAGCTAAAGAAAATCCTCAGTTCACCAACGTAACTTCCCATTTCTCACAGGGAACATGGTCAGTGTCAATCTATGCAGGAACTGTCCTCTAACTGCAAAGCTGTCTGAACCCCAGGCACCTAATCTTCAGGTACAATCGCTTCTGTGTCCTACAGACCCTGAAGCCAAACAGACTTGGACTCCAAGGACATTCCATTCTATCTTCAATTTTCTTATCTGTAAAATGGAAAATTTAATACTGCCCAGCTTATATAGACTTAGGTGAGAAGAGCACCTAGGAAACCGAGCGTCACAGCACATAGTAAGCCTTCAACAAACAGTCAGGGCTACTGTTTACATTATGTTGTTTATTAACTCTATTAATTTGTCACTGTAACAACTATAATGAGAAAAGCAAAACTTACCATGGATGTTTCTATTTTGTTAGCCCTTTTGATAAAACGAATGTTTTTTAATAATAGTAAAATAAGAATAACTTTATTTTTGACCTTTACAGGCAGGCATCTTTGCTTAGTTTAAGAAACCTATGACCCATAGTCACTGGCCCATCAATTATTGTCCTTTTGACAGAAGCACAAACTTGAGGTGAGACACATAGAACTGCCGGAACAACCACTCGTTTGCTGCTGTCAGGAACCATGGAGAGGACCAGCAAGCAGCTTTGGAACTCATGGGAAACTCACTGGTTAGCATAATCATGGTGGGTGTGTCTTAGAGAAGCAGAGCCCTGAGGACTAGTTTCCTTAGGACCTCGATACTATTAAGTCACCACATCCCTTACAATCTATAAGTTGTATGGAAACTCTCAGAGGTCCCTAGCACCTCACTGGGCAGTGCCACTGGTACTTAAAATAACAGTGATTGGCTTTCTGCAAGCATTGCTGCTGGAACAGACTAATGATTCAATCACACCCTAAGAAAGACGTAGACTGTTAGTAAAGTTAGCTTAAGACTTTTTGTTGTTGTTGTTGGTGGTGGTACTGGTTTTCTTGTTTTGCTTTTCTTTCTCCTTTCTACCTTCCTTCCTTCCTTTCTTTCTTTTTCCCCCTTTGTTTTTATGATTTTTGAGACAGGTTTTTCTGTGTAGCTTTGGAGCCTGTCCTAAACTTGCTCTGTAGGCCAGGCTGACTCACATAGAATTGTCTCTGCCTTCCTAGCGCTGGGATCAAAAGCGTGCACCACCACTGCCGTGTGGCTAAGGTTAAAATGTTTTTGTTAATGGCTTTGAAGCCACTCATTTTCTCTTGTGACCACTGCCTTGCAAACAGAGGCATGTCCAGCTTGTATGAGCATCACAGGAACGTGCTTCTTGCTTTTAAAGGATTCATTTGTGTCAGGGAGAATCACTGCCTGTCTCCTATATTCTCTCTTCTATTCCTTAAGTCAAAACCTCCAAGCTTTGCCTTAGCACAAGGCCTTAAAAAAGAGTCTACAGAACCTAATATCCTAGACTGTCTTACAGCTAGCCATGGCCACAGGACCAAGCAAGAGTCAACTGGATAGTAGCTTAAAAGCAACTTGTGATCGCTAAAGCATGTCTTTTAAAGACAGGAAACGTCCCTTCATCTGAAAATGCAATGTCAGGCTCTACCATCTTTTAAAGACAGGAAACGTCCTTTCATCTGAAAATGCAATGTCAGGCTCTACCTGCCATCATGGCTCATATAGTAATTTTGTAATCTAATACACATGAAGAATCTGGATCCTTGACTCAGATACACTACATTACAACTGCATTAACTCTGTGGACTTTCATGTGAGAAAAGAAAAATCTGTTGGATTAAATCACCGTTAGTGCATGCTTCCTGTTGTACTCGACTAAACCTAAAGCCAACTGAGGGCATAACTCAAAGGTCCAGTACTTGCCTAGCATGCATGAAGCCTTGGGTTCCATCATGAGTACTGCAAAACAGAACTAAATATCAATAAAAACATAAAACATGGGACCTAGGAAACAGTTCAGTAAGTAAAGTGTATGCTGTGCAGGCATGAAAACCTGAGTTTGGATCCCCAGCACCCACAGATAAAGCCAGGCATAAGTATCTGTAACTCTAGTGCTGGAAGTAGAAAAAGGCTGATGGTGAGGAGGGAAGGACTCCTGGGCTGGCGACTCCAGGGGAAGTCTGTTCCTGGTTCACTAGGGAACCCTGTCCAAAAGTAAGATGGAGGACGAGAGGAAGACATCCAAAATCGGCCTCCATCGCCCACAAGCACAAACACAGTTGTGTGCGCTCTCTCTCTCTCTCTCTCTCTCTCTCTCTCTCTCTCT